CATCAAAAAAAAAAAATTAGTGTCATGTTGTTAGAATACTCCATCAGCATTGGCAATATGATATAACTTTACCTTGTATAACATATGAGTCAGATCTTTATCATCACCAGATCACAATCGGGATTTCGCCTTCACAGCGTCGTTCTTCAATATCAGCTTATCCATAAGAGACTGACTCATGGCATGGTTACCATGAATACAGTTTGTATTTTTAATGTATGTTTCCCCATGAGTAAAGATAGGAGAAAACATATCATCAGGAATACCGTCACTTATGTTAAACTTTCGAGAACCTTAAGCTTCTTTGTCTCCCTGGGATGGGAAACGCCTTGTACCTCGATCCTTTTACTTCGTTCATCGCCACCAGCATCGCTTATTACAATTCCAACTTATTTTCTCTTCTTCGCCTTGTCTAGAAGTGGAATCGAAGGCCCTCTGATGGCCTCGCTGAAGTCAGGCTTTCCTCGAACCTTGGGAACAAATTTGCCAGTAGTTCGCGCCTTCTCACCAGTAGTAGGTTTCTTTCCAGTTTCCTTGCGAGGTGGAGCCATTGATTTTGAAGTATTCGACACACCTACGTCGTCAGCTACCTTCTTCTTCTACTTTTTAGGCTTTAGTTCTTGAAACCACTTAGCAAGATCAGGAAGCAATCTCCTCTTAGTTTCCCAGGTTAATGACGCCAACTTCTGTATGGTCACAGGGTTTACCTTCTCTACAGAGTTTTTTTTCTTTTGAGGATCCCCAATAACACCTGTGTAACAACATACAAATAGTTAAAGCTCATACCAAAACCAACGTCGTAGAATTTACGAACTACAGATTTCCTTTTTATCTATAGAGGGAATACGAAGATGTTCCAGGTACCCTTCACTGAAGTCACCTCGTACCTTGTACACGGGTGTATTCTGTAAATGTTATATCTTGTGAATTGTGACAGCCAAGGGCATAATAGACATTTCACATGTACTGTATGTTATATGAGTCCTTGTATTAGGTCTAGGTCTTGGTGTTCAAGTGTCCGGAGGCCTACAGAGCTGAAGACATCAAGAATGGACGTGAACGGCGGCAACCGAGCTCAACGGGAAGTCAAGCTAGCAGGTCAAGCAGGCAGCTGATCTAACCTGGAGTCGACTGACTTTTGGAGGAAACAGGGATCACATAAGGTCAGTCGACTGACCCTTTGTGGGCCCAGTAATGCTATAAGGTCAGTCGACTGACCTACAAGCTTCAGTGGCAGACTTTGTAATTTAAAGTATCAGTCGACTGACTTACGGGATTTATTGAAATTTCACCCGGTTTGCTCCGACTCACACCCGGTTCACTCGGTCAAAACCCTAGTTGGTCCTATGACTTTGACCAACGACTCAATTAGGGTTTTGCCTATAAAAGCAACATGATAAGAGAGTTTTCTCTAAGGATTTTGGGATTTCATCAAGAGCTTTTCAAGAGGCCAAAAACCTATCTTTGTGAGAGTTCTTTCTAGAGAGAAATCATCATCTTCCTTCCACTCAACTCTTCAAATCTTTTCAATCCATTAAAGAGAGTGTGAGTGTTTGTAAGAGGGTACAATTATAAACCCTAGAGTGCTTCCATCTTCATCTCTATCTACTCATCTAGTGAGTTTCTTTCAAGAGAGATAAACCCCTTTCTACCAAAGGTTAATCCTTTGATGTGTTGAGTCTTTGAGAAGACAAGAAAGGTGAAACCCTTGAGAAGGAGTTCAAGGTAAGGAGCTTTGTGACAAGCTTCTTCAAAACCCTAGTGGATTCTAGGTTAGAGATTTAGGGAAAATCTCTACAACTTTCAAGTTAGATTAAATCAACACTTATGGGAGAGGTGTAGAGTTGTTGGAGGTGTTCCAAAGCTTTGGATTTATCTTAATAGCAAGAAGCGACTTGAAGAGTGGACGTAGGCCATCTTGGGCCGAACCACTATACATCCTTGTGTTGTGGGTTTGCTTTCTTGCTTTTACTTTAGATCTATATGCTTGTTAGTTGTTGTTTAGATCAATCTCTTCAACATACATCTCTAGTTAGTAGTCCTTGAACCGGAAGGTGGGAGTGCCTCTTTCTCTACCCACCTCGAGAAGTTCTCGGCTACTCGTAAAAGTATTGGTGTTTATTAGTCTTAGAATTGTGGTTTTCACAAACCCATATCCATAAAGACAATAACCCAAGGACTAGAGTTAGTTGGTTGGGATTGAGTCTTTACTTCATACTTAGTTCATCTTCGCATCTATACTTCTCTTATCATATGTTCTAGCTTGTTAGTTGGTTAGATATTGTTTGATTTGCTTAGTATAATCTTTCATTCCGCATCTTGTTTTACTAAGCATATCTGTTAGTGTTAGTTTGCTCTGTGTTAGTGACAGGTTATCTTAGTGTTGTCTCTTGGGGGTGATCTTTGTTAGCACATTTTTTAAATACCCTATTCACCCCCCTCTAGTATATTGGACACCATTGTGTAAGGAATATCATATTCTTCCAACCATCATTAAACATTGGAGGATTATACGCCTTACCCTCCCCCATATTACTTTTCTTGTTTAGTGATGTAACATAATTACCAATTCGTCCTCCTACAACACGAAAGTCTGTTATGATGTCGCCTAAGCATATGTTGTACCCATCTATCTTGTTCAGTTCCTCAAATATGAGCATATGTGTCCAGAAGCTACTAGACATTTGGATAGGACATCTCTCTACATAATTCAATACGTCGCACACCAACTTCGAAAATGGAAGTCGCTTGCCTGCCTCTAGTTGACCAACGCATATTAAATTCGACGTCGAATCACCACAGAGATCGTGTAACCTATCGTTTACTCTATACAACTCTATGTTTGTGCTAGTTATGTTGTATTGTTTTCTAATGTTGGGAAAAGCGACTAATGCTTGCTTAGAAGACATGTGGAAACTGCTATCTACCTCGTCCTCTTCCTCAACGACTCGTGCACTGGTTGTCTCATCTTCCTCAACACCATCATCAGAAATCGCGTCGTCAACACTTTCAGAAGCAATTTGATCACTATCCACTTCATCATCATAGTGGATACTATCATTCTCACTATCGCTGGGGCTAGTACTCATCCTTACCAACGTGCTTCTAACTCTAATAAAACTATGTTTCACAAACAGGTTTTATTACATTTTTTTATATTCTTACAAGATTAAACAACAAGGTTTTTCGTATTTTGCTTCTTCCTCAACAAAAAATACAAACAAGTATGGGAAAGATGAACAGTTGCAGTTTCAAAAACTTTCTTTAAATCAACAATGGCAGATTCAAACAGACAATCCAAGACCTACAGTAATAGATACAAGATTGAAGAACTTCAACAACAGAATGAAGAACTTCAACAGGAAAAAGGTTAACTTCCAACAAAAGGGCAAATTGGAAGGTTCCCAACATAAAATCAAAGCAAAACAGTAAAAGAACTTCAAGATCTTCTAGATGTTTACACAAGGAAATAATGGTTGCAGAGGAGTTACCTTCACAAGTGAATTCTTTGAAGCTTTAAACAGCAAAAACAAAACCTTTGCTCTTCTAGTAACAGTTATGGTTTTATAAAACTCTCAACTCATCACAGCCATAGATCTATTATCTTATCATACGGCTAAGATTGATTTATCTCTGTTAAACCGCTTCACTTTTTAGTTTCCCTCCAAATTTACAGTTAGACTTTTGAAACACACCATCAATGCAAAGCCACGTGTCCTACACTTTGCAGTTTCCAAAACAACCATCATTACATCTTTTCTCGAAAGTTTCGTTTTGGCAACTACAGCACACAAACATCTCTTGAGTAAATCAAGGCAAAATTGCCACACTTCCCAAGTCGACATCATTTCAATCACATTGATTAGACAACCTACAACAATAATTTATTTTAATCCAAATCCAAGCGAGATCAACCTCATGTCTTCTTACCTCGATTACCTTCGAATAAAAAGGGGCTCTGTACATACCCTACTTTCTTACGTCAAATACATCCACAACCATTTGCACTTATATACTTCACTATCATATGCGAACTCAACTCCTCGCACTTGCGACATCACACGAACTCAAAGTTATTTATAACTCGACCTCACTATCTCGCACTTGCGAACTCACCCGAGCTCAATACCTCGTCTCATACGAGCTCTAACCTTTATTACCAAATATCTTCATACGTTACAAATCTTTTCATTGATTATGTAATGTTCCCTTCATTAATTGTTATTTTCGTTATACAATTAATGAATTATCCGTTGTCCCAAATCTCCTATATAAACGAACTACGTAGGCTTGATACTGGGACTTGGTCACTTCCAGATACGTAGGCAACATCTTCTCCAAGATAGCTCAGTCACTTTCTCACTTAATCTCTCTTCCCATCTACTCCGTTCAACCAAAGTTTTTCTGTATTTACAAATCTTAGTAATTAGGAATTAGGATGTTGTGGGTCTTGTTTGCCTTGATGAGGATGTTTGGGTAATTTAATACACAAATTTAAAATGGAGGCTGAAAACAATTGGCATCTGTACTCTGTAGTAGCCGCGCTGGCCATTAATTCAAGTACAGACAGCAGAATCGCAAAACCATTTGCCTTGTCCATTTTAGGATGTGCTAAATAGGCAGTAAAATTCTAGTTACACAATCATAGTTGAAAATATTGAAGAGTCCCGCAGTTCCCTAATTAGGTTGTCCAGTTCTAGAACCAATACAAGGGGTGAGCACCGCGCACGAAAGACCCACAACTCCCTAATTAGTGATGCCTTGGCACTTCGGCAGAATTGTCATTCGTATAAAATTACAAAAGTCACAACCCTCATGCAAAATTGACTACTTGAGAGTCTTTTGTTTTCTGCTTTTGTGTGCATAAGCCAAATATGATGTGGGGGTTTTGCAGTCAAAGGAGTTGATAGGTTCGGTTTGGGCCAAATATTTTCTGGTACTTTTGGACAAAGCCCAATAACACGATGGAATGCAAAAAATAAAAAATAAAAAAAGGATTTTGGAGATGCAGGGATTCGAACCCTGATAGCCTTGCTAGACGCAAGTGCTCAAATCATAGGCATTGGTAATTTTAAGCTACACCTCCGTTTAGTTTAGCTAAATAAATTTTATTTAAACTAAACTAATATTTCAAATTAGGGATGACTTAATTTAATAAAAGTATTGATTTATTTGACTGTTCTTCATCTTGAGTAGTATGCTCTGTGGATGGCAATTTAGCCTAACCCGACCCAACTTTAATGAGGATGGGAATAGAAAACAAAAGATGCTCAGCACATCGAGTAGTGAATTGCATGTATGAGCGTGCAATTTTGTACTCCCTCCGTCTCGTTTATATAGGCTGATTGGCTTATTTGACACATATTAAGAAGGTGATAAACACTATTTATTTGTATTTAATTTTAATTATATTTCTTAAAATAACCTTTCTTGTTTGTTGTGTACATTTAATATTATATTATTATTGGTAAAGAGACTTAATTAATGAAGGGTAAATTTGTCAATTATTTATTAAATGTTTTGAATTATGTGAAATTGGACCATATAGTGGGACAAATATTTTTGGCAAATCAGCCTATTAAAGCGGGAGTATGAATGATGAATCTTCCTAGGCATCACTAATCAAGAAGGTGTGGATCTTGCTTGCTTTGATGAGGATGTCTGGGTAGTTGGTACACAAATTTACCTTGGAGGCTGAAGACGATTGGTATCTGTAGTCAAAGACAGATCCAGGGGGGTGCGTCGGGGTGCGATCACACCCCAAGATTCAAAATTTTTAATTAGTTCTACTATATTTTTTACATAAACATAATTTTTTTAGCAAAAATATAAAGAATCACACCCCATAAAGCATATAGGTTAGATGATATAACTCTGCACCCCCGAACTCAGATTCCTGGAATCCGTCCCTGTCTATAATAGCCGCCTGGCCATCAATTAAAGTACTGACGGCAGAATTGCAGAACCATTAGCTTTGTTCATTTTAGGGTGATAGAATTCAAAATGTAAGAACCCATGAGCTTTCTAAATGGGCATTCAATCAAGGTGCAATGGCACTTCAGATATATCTTCGTATCAAACACCCCCTTTACACACCATGCTTCCACTTCCACCGTTCGAACTATCTACGGGGCATTAGGAATAAAAATTTGGATATTTGCAGATGAGGAATAAGGGCCCTTTCGTTGTCTTTCTGTTCTATCAATTTGTCAATTGAATAAAAAAAA